TTAGTTCTTTTAATCGATCAATTATTTATTATCTCAACTCTTTCCGCTTTTGAATTGTAGGCGTACCAAATTTGTAGTAATTTTTTTCAAAGAGATAATTGATTAAGAGAATCAATCTAAATCACTTGCACCCCTGCTTCCAAGTTTGGTTACAAGATTACAACTCTGGAGAGCATTTTGTGTGGTCGTTGGGGGCTTGTGGTTCTGAATATGGACACAGATAAATTCTATTCCAACTCTTTACTGATGTAAGCTTGATGGCCCTGAAAAGGGTCGTTTTATTGAAGAGGACATCCATGGCCACTTGCGCTTGGCGTGTTTAGTGTAGGTGACAGCAGCACAGACCTCATTTTCTAGGAACACCTTCAGCACACCTCGTAGATCAGACCGGAGATACGTTTGACACCACCACGGCGAGCCAGACGACCGATGGCGACCTTTTCCTCCTTTGCCACGACCAGTCAATTGTTGCTTGTTAGGTGTGAAGGAGTGGACTAGCCACCACCTTCCTACTGCTGCTATTGCTGTTCACCACGCCGTCCGAAGCGAAAATGAGCTAATGCCATACAGCAGCGCTCTTTTATATCTTTCAGGTTAAAGCAGAATGATGTGCAACCAAGTGGTATAAAAGCTACAAAGACTCCTCCCATTATGAGTAGTTTGCTATCAAGTAGCGACACTGGCTCTTTTCCTTTTGCGTACACGGCGAATGAGAACGACCCAAATCAAGATTGATCAAAATAATTTGTACCCCTGCTTCCAGTTTGATTACATGAGCATTTTGTGTGGTCGCTGGTTTTGAATATTGGCAAACAGGCAGATGAATTATATTCCTACTCTTTACTGTAATAAGCTTGGTGGCCCTGAAAAGGGCCGTTTTGTTGCCAAAGTTGGTGATGATTTAACCTCCGAAACCAAACAGAGTGCGTTTCTGTCACTTCAAAACGTAGATGACATCCATGGCCGCTTACGCTTGGCGTGTTTAGTGTAGGTAACAGCATCACGGATGTCATTTTTCAGGAACACCTTCAGCACACCTCGTAAATCAGACCGGAGATATGTCAGACACCGCCATGGCGAGCCAGACGACGGATGGTGGTTATCTCGAAGAATTTGCGTTTGGTTCTGAATATGGCGATGAGTGTGCAAAATATTACGCAATTCCATCCTCCCTATCAGTGTAGGTAAAATATCAAAAAATCAAATCTCACCAACGCCCAAGATCACACTTGATTTTCGTAGACATAAATCAACAAGCAAGCAACTGCGGTTGATTTTGCAAGCTGTGATATCGCAGCTCGGAATATCAAGCTAACAAAACTCACCAACTGCAAATCTCACCAAACTGTGGTGAGATTGAGTTTGATGATTTTTGCAGCCGAAACTTCCATAACGGTTTGCAGCAGTCCCTTTGCGTCTGCCATCGGTGAAGATTAAAAAGAGATAGCAAACGAAGCTTTCTCTTTCTAAGAAAACGATGTGCAATGGAATCATTTTTATGTCGAGTCAACTCTCAGCTTAATTTTTGCACGTTGTGAATATTCTCGCAATATCAAAGGAGCTTGTAAAATCAATATCAAGCATGATATTTTGTTCCAATATCACGCGTGATATTGCGAGCGCATGAGAGCGGAAAAATATCAATTGATTTCTGATTTTGCCAACACTGCTCCCTATACGCACGCGCCCGAGGATCGGAGGCGAATGCCACTTCGAATTGTTTCGACTACTTACTACTCTCTGACGACTGTGCTGGGGAAGCAGCATATGCATGTAGGTAGTTGGTGGATTTGTTAGTAATTCGACACTTTTGGACAATATTGGACATTTACCAGTTTTTCAATAGTTTCTTGTTGAAAATCAACATTCGGAAGCATTGTTATCGATGCGTAGCCATATAGCTGATCGATTGGTGATAAAATTATTGAAATTGGACCAGGGGCAGCTGAGTTATTAACGTTTAAAATCTTTCTTAATTTGTTACATGTTCCATTTTCGGTTTTCACAAAGTGTACCCCCATATAGAAATCAAAGACGTAGTCCTACGTCAAAAATTCTTGAAGTTTTTCTGAAGTTTATGAAGTTGACCGGAATTTACCCATACAAATATTCGAACTTCTCTGAAAGTCTGGAATTTCTTGAATTTCACGAAGTTATGAAGTTATTGAAAGTGCCGTTAATATCTCCGAAATTCCCTAAAGCTCATCTCTAGTCTAACTTCTTTGAGGTACTTGGAAGTTCTTTAAAATGTCCATTTTCCTCAAGTTATCTCCACATCACTGAAATTATTTTGACTTCTTTAAAGTTCTCTGGATATCCCTGAATTTCTCAAATTGTCTTAATAGTTCCTGCAGTTTCCTGAAGTTTTTGGAACCACTTCGAAAATCCTGAAGTTTGCCTGAAGTTCACCAAAATTTCAAGAAGTTTTCGGAACTTACCTTTTGTTCCCACAGTTTGCCTATAAAACTTCCTGAAATTCTCAGTACTTCTTTTCATTCCTCAGACGCTCCGGAAGATCTCTATTGTTGCTTGAAGTTTACGGAACTTTCCTGATGATGTTCCTGGAATTGTTCTGAAATTAATGGAACTGCCCAGATGATTTTTAAACTTCCCTTTAAACATGGATCTTCTGCGTAGCTTTCTTAATGTTTTTAGGTTCATTATCTGAAGTTTTTTTATTATCCTTAAATTTTCGGAACTTCTTGATGGTTTCCTTTATTTTACTGAAATAAATTGAACTGACATAAAGTTCTCGAAACGAACCTAAAGTTTTAGGAACATCCGTCAAGTTCTCACAGTTTTCCTGATATTCATGGAACTGCTCTAATATTTTCAGAACTTACCCGAAGTTCACGTAACATACTCATAGGTCTTTAAGTTTAAATTTGCCTGAATATAAAGGAATTGCCCTGAAGCTCTTGATCTCTGCTGAAGTAAATTTTCCTGAAATCTATTAGATTGCCTTGCTTAAAGATCTTTTAACTTCCCCACATTTCTATCAATCAGAACTTCTTAAAGGTTTCAACATTTTTAGCTAAAATATGTAATGTAGCGGAAATGGCTCTAATGTTGGCCTATGGATCTAAGATTGGGCCCATCGGTAAAAATCTGCTATTTATCAATTTTATCTCAGCCATCTGTTGAGTGTATTGCCCATCATAGTGTAGATCAAAAACCCTATACTATTTATTTTTGGTAGTCAATAATTTGCAATTTTATGTGTAGATATAAGTATCAAACACGTGGAATTTATATCTGTTCGATGACATTGCATAATATTGACTGCTTTTACATATAAGTTCCATTATCCTCATCCAAAATTCAAGTAAAAACTACGTCAAAAGCATTTTAAACTAAACGGAATATCACGTAAAAGTTAGCAGTTTTTCAGTAGTTTTCACCTCGATTTCACGTAAGCAGTACGTGAAAAATAACGTAAGCAGTTACGTGAAAAATAGGGTGGACGAAAACCACCTATATTTTCACGTAAATCGGACGTGACGATTTTTCAGAGTGTAACGCAACACTTTCAGAAATACTTCTCTTCGCAACCGATGAATCATTCTGACGGCCATATGAATACCCAAGTAACCATATAGTCGCAATATAGCTTGTATATTCTACTACTTGAGTATGATTAGTTGGGGAATCTGATGAAACTGTCACTTCTTGAAACTGATCCCTTTCGTATTTCTTTCATTCTCTTTTCGCACACGAAGCGCTCGGTGGACCAGCGACTCTGGACGTGAGCCTCTTCCCAGTTCACCATGGCAATTCAGTGGTGGACATGAAACCGACCACACCAACCAGCGAGGAAGGAGTCAACATCGAACCAGGAACGGAAATAAGTGCGGATTTATCTCCCTCGGAAATCAAGAAAAACCCGGAAATGGCGGAATCATATTAGAACCAACCAAGGACGATCTACGGAAGGAAATTGCCGTTGAAGCACGGAATGCAATACGAAGCGTTAGAGAAAAAGTCCAAAGGATTCCAAAAGAAGCAATTAACGGCGGCGGACGAGCAGAATCTGGTGAGAGCTGTCCATTTATGTTTTACAAATTAAATATCAAAATTAAACTAAATAGGGGAAATGGCTCTAATGTTGGCTGGGGATCTAAGATTGGGCCCATCACTAAAAGTCTGCTATTTATCAATTTTATCTAGAGAACCGCGTCATTAGGACGGTACTAATGGATATTTTTGGTCGCTATCGAAATTTTATTCGATTGCTGAATTTATGTATGGGCCCAAATTAGGGACATTTAGGCCATACATTTCCCCTACATGCCTGGTTTGAAAAAAATATTTTCGAACCTGCAAGTGTGTATGTAATACTAATATCCAATTGATAGAGATAATACATACATGCGGGGCTTATTGTGAGTGAAAGTAACCTCAGAATGGGCGTGACACACATTCTGAAATGGGTTGCTGGATCTGCAATAAAGCTATCACCTTCTAACTCCCGGACTAAAGCTGCCTACAATGACCATAAATGCGACATTGTAGAGAGAGTTCTTCCATAATAACACTGCCGGCCAGTGGGGGTTAGAGGGAATACACACACACACACACACACACAATCGCTTGGTCACCTACTGATTGACAAAGATGTTGTCTAAGGGTGGTACGCAAGTTTCCATCCCTATAATGATTATTTCAGTGCCAACATTTCAAAGGGGCGTAATTGCTTTTGTAAACAATGGCTTACGCCGTCGATTTCTCGCAAATAAAAGCCCACCCCTCCAAATTACCAATGCTAGCTGGGACAGGAAACATTCATCTACCTGCTGGTGTCATTTATTTTCATGCGTGAGCTTTCATTCGCGACAAATCGAAGCCGAAAGTCATTGTTTACAAATGCAATTACGCCCCTTTGAAATGGTGGCACTGATTTGTAAAATCAAACCGCTCCTTAAATTTACTGACAGTTCTTTCATAAAAAAAATCAGTGCTTCGCGTTTTAGACAACTTTCAGACCTCTATTAACAATCAACACCCTCATCACTTCTCCTTAATAAAACTTTCCAACTCTTTCGGGTACAGCCCGAAAAATTTGAACCTCTCCCCCATCTGCTCCGGATCGGTTAGCATCTTGAATCCATCCTGCAATCGTTGTTTATCCCCTTCGCTAATGCTGCTACTGCTCATCAAAATCTTCAACCGCTCGTTTGCTCCAGCAGCTTCCAAAAACGTCCGCTGACTGGTCGGACCGATCGTCACCATTTGCGCCGTATCCTCACAGAATCGATTCAACATTCTAAAATCTACATCGGCCGTCAAGTCGGCACTCCCCGGTTCCACCAAGGGATCGTGCAGTTTGTGATTTTTGAACGCTCGAAACGTATCTCCTTTGTCTCCCAAGTGACCGTAATCCACTACCAGTGCAAAACCTCCGTTCGCGTGGAATCGTTCCCCTATCTGTCGTATCACGGATTCCACCTCAAAGGATATTTCGATGTGATTTCTGTCCTTGACTAGATCCGGATAATTGTTCAAAAACAATCGTAACATAGGAGTTTCCGATTTGGACAGAATGAATCGGAATTTGTCTTCGCTCTTAGGCTCAATGTCGACTAGGACTTCTTTCCACACATTTTCCTGCTTCATAAACTTGTGAATCGGTAAAGCATCGAAAAATTCATGGGCCAGGAAAATTGCAAATCCTTCCGGTACATCAGTCAACTGACGGTACCAATAAACCTTCGTTCCGCTTGCCGTTACACCCGCTCGATAGTACGGTTTATCCGTATATTCCGTACTGCTCCTGCACAGCAACTTAGCCTGCACCTCACTCAAATGCTCACTCATTTCGACCATCTGAACGGCCAGACCTTGACTCACCTTCAACGTATCGAACACCCTCAGAATATCACGCATCATCGTTCCTTTCCCCGGTCCCAGCTCGATCAGCTGGAACGGTGCCGGGCGACCAAACTTGGACCACTCGTTTACGCACCACACTGCAATCATTTCGCCGAAAATCTGCCCAATTTCCGGTGAGGTGATGAAATCTCCTTTCTTTCCCAGAACATCTCCGGTGGTCATGTAGTACCCGGCGGCTGGATTCGTTAGGACTTGCTTCATGTAGGCTGCCACTGGAATCGGCCCGGTGGCGAGAATCCTCGATTTGAGATCATTTATCAGTGATAAATTGCCGGACTGGTGGTCCGGTTTCGGTGGCAGTTTGCTTGCTGGTGGTAAGGACACTCGTTTCACTGGTTTGTAGCTGTATTTCCTGGCTTGCTGGCAGAATAACCGGGGGATAATTTGAAGATTCATCACTCGAAGAAAACAAATACGATTATGCGGTAAACGAACGAGAGAAGCGAAACTGATAAGAAACGTCATATTGGGGAGGGTTTTGTTGGTAAACAAGCGATTATGTTGCGCAGCATGCCTAAAGTGACGTGACATGTACGAGTGTGACGCGACATCTATTGGTGGGTGATTGATAGGGGTGTCTTCATGAAAATAAAAATTACACATAATTGACCACTTTGTCAAGCAGTTTTGGCGTGACTTTCTACCAGCGATTTCACAAAACTGGACCAACTAATTTCTATTTTTTTTTATGAAACGCGCAAATGATGGCTACTTTTCTCGTGGTTCTAGGAGAAAAAAAATCCCAAAATAATGTTTTATTTCAAAGTTCGAGTGGTAGGAGTAAACGTCATTTTAACTGCTCGAATGAAGTGGTTAATTTGAAAAGATTAAATCTTTAAAATATAAAATGAAATGTAGGTCAATCCTATTATAATTCGAATAAAAGCAGAAGCAACATATATTTTGTTATATGAAATAGAATTGATTTTGATCTATGGATCATATAAAATAGGGGAAAGTGGGGCAGCTTAAGAGAATCATCACTAATAATATCAATTCAGGGGAAATTCGAGTGATTTTTAACAAAATTGATAGGTTCAAGCCCTACCCACATAAATGCGAACCATTACTTGACCTTACCGAGAATGGTAAACAATTGTTTATAATCCCTGCTAAACTTATAGAACTTTACATGAACGTTTGTGTGATAAAGTTTTAACCTTATGTATTATGGTTTATGAAAGTGAACCTTACAAATAATGGGTTACCAAGAACCATCACCATTCCAAATTTTTGTTTTCTCGATACATTTTCGGAAAAGAAATTACCCATATTAGAACCTTTTTATTTATGATTTAAGAACTTTAATGGTAATGGTGATGGTAATAGTAAAGACCAATGGGTCGATAGGTAGTGTCCAGACGTGGGAGCTGCCTCCCTGGCGTCGGTAGCATTGGTGCTCAGCACGGAAAACAAGATCGACGGAAAACAAATAAAGGAAAAAAAAAAACCTGCTCAGTCTGGACAGCGCTTAATTTAGGTACAACTTTATTGCAAATCACAGTTACTACTCACTGGTATATTTGGTATATTTCCCCAAAATTGGACACGGCCTTTTGACGTAGGACTACGGCTGTGATTTCTATATGGGGGTACACTTTGTGAAAACCGAATATGGAACATGTAATAAAATTATGAATTTGTTTGAACATTAATAACTCAGCTGCCCCTGGACCAATTTCAATAATTTTATCACCAATCGATCAGAAATATTTCTACGCAATGCTTCCTACTGAATCTTTAACAAGAAACAAATAAAAAGTTATAATTTGCTATCACTGTTTTCAAGAAATAAACGTTCTTCCCTAACCCAGTCGTCATAATCGATTCGTCATTGGAGACGATTTGAATGCCCATCACGAGGCTTGGCGGAACTACCAGCGGAACCCGAACGGTCGTTTGCTGTTTGATCACTCGCAGCATGGGCTGTACACAGTGGAGTTTCCAAATGAACCAACTTTCATCTCTCCGGCGGGAAACCCTTCCACGCTGGACTTCTTTCTGACGAACATCGGTATATTCAAACCGGTGGCACCACAACGACCTTAGCTCAGATCATTAACCGGTGGTTGCTGAAGTCGGCAGCGAAGTGGCTGCTGCTCCAAGTCGCCAACGAAAGGACTACCACCACGTAAACTGGGTCCAGTTCGGACGTTTGGTGGACAGAAACATCGACGAAAATCCGCCGATTGACACCGTAGATGACATCGACCGGGCGCTGAAAGTCCTTCATCAGGTCATATATATGGCTGACGAGACATGTGTCCGTCAAGTTCCTGTGAGGGGTAAGTTTACTACCATTGATTCCCACACCCAAATGATGATTCGTATGAGAAATATTCGTAGACGCCAGTTTCAGAGAACTGGCGATCTGGACAAAAAACGTGAAACGGCTGATCTGAACAGGCAGATTGCTTCCAGAATGGGCTCACTCCGAAACGAAAGTTTTGGACGTGTTGTCCAAAATCTGGATGACCGTTCACGTCCATTTTGGAAGGTAGCCAAGGTTCTGAAGTCTCATCCCAAACTTGTTCCACCTCTAAGACTCGAAAATGATGACGCTCTGCTCATAACAACGAAGGAGAAAGCAAATGTACTTGCTTGGCTCCAATATCCAAAGTCCGCTCGAAAATTAGGTGACGCAGTGCGCCCACAATTTAGATGCCTTCCCTTGTGTCGTCCCCCCGGAGGATGAAATCACGGTAGAACAGATTTGGTCAGCTCTGAAATATTCTAATAATTTGAAGACCCCCGGCTTTGACGGAATTTTCAACCTAATTCTAAGGAGACTTAAACTTAGACTATCTTCAACAGATGCTTGGAACTGCACTATTTTCCAAGCATCTGGAAGATGGCGAAAATTATACCACTTCACAAACCGGGTAAAGATCCAACATTGCCGTCTAGCTACAGATCGATCAGCCTCCTTTCAGCGCTGAGCAAATTGTTCGAGAAACTCATTCTCAACCGTTCGAGGAAAGCAATATTCTCCTACCGGAACAGTTTGGTTTCAGAAAGGGGCATCCCACCACTCATCAGCTAGTACGGGTGATGAACAACATCCGAAGTAACAAGGCTGTATCCAAGTCCACAGCCATGGCCTTGTTAGATGTCGAAAAGGCGATTGACAATGTATGGCAAGACGGACTTATACTCAAGCTTTGCAACTTCAATTTTCCTTTACATCTTACAAAAATCACCCGTAACTACCTTCAGCAAAGGTCATTCAAGGTATCGTTAAATGGTTGTCTTTCCGACACGTTCTCCATCCCAGCAGGCGTCCCACAAGGTAGTCTGTTGGGCCCCTTGCTTAACAGCTTATACACTTTCGATAAAGCCGATCTCGGTAACGAGTTCGTGTTCTTCCTGTTCACAGATGATACTGCAAATTCCGTCAAAGGCAGATTGCCTCGCGAAATTACCAACAAACCTCAACGATACCTTGACACCTTTGCTGACTACGCGAAAACGTGGAAAATCAAAATCAATGCCGCCAAAACCCAGGCAATTATGTTCCTGCACAGGCAATCCCCTTCTGCACAGTAGTCATGGACGGCTCAAGGGTCGAGTGGTCTACAGACGTAATTTATCTCGGGATGTTGTTTGATGAAAAGCTCCTATTCCGCTTGCACATAGAAAAGACGTTAGTTAAGTGTTCAAGCTTAGTTAGGTGTCTGTATCCGCTCATTTGGCGCAGATCTCGTCTCTCTATGGTGAACACATGATAGCATCTGCAATTTTCTACGCTGCTTCGGTCTGGGAATCAAGTGCACAGACTCACAGGAACAAAGTCCAGGTGGCACAAAACAGAGTACTGAGGATGATCCTCGATCGTCCCTTCGACACTAGGATAACAGAGCTTCACCAGGAAGCGGATATCCCAAGAATAGATTTTAAAATTACCGACATAAAGACTAGATTTGCACAGAAATGCAACATTTCAGAACATGCTTTAATAAGCAATTTCTATATCCAGCTTTCCATGCTCGGTAATGGCAACCTGTTTGTATGAATAAATGTATCCTTCACTGTGCTTTTTGGCACTAACTGGAGGACGTATTTTGTTTCATTTTCTTCTTTCAGAGAAAGGAAGTGGTCAAAATCCGAACCTCCAGATAGCACAGTGAAGAATACATTTATTCATACAAACATGCCGACATTACCAGTTATTGTGTGGTTGGATTCGCTGGAGGAGGAATTGTTTAAAAATGACTAGATAAAATTAAGCACCGAGAATGCGCTCCCGGATATATTGATTTGGTGAGTACGTTCCAGTTGAAGATTGTTCTCTCTAAATATCCCTTTTTTGAATACATTTCATTTATCAAACATTATTATATGCTGGGTTTGGGGGGGGGGGGGGTAGCCTAAGAATTTCAAAGGATTTGTAGACTGCACAAGGGTTCGTGGATTTGCCAGTCCCTTGTCACGTGTTGATCTTGTCGTTTGTCTTCCAAAGGTCTTCAATGAAGTTGATTGACCCTGCTGCAACAAACCATCAGGCAGAACTTTACAACCAGTGAAGTATCTGCAGTCATAGGTAATCCTTGCACTGATGGTGGGTTCTATTCACTTCACATCACATCACAAACATGCCGCCATTACCGAGCATGGAAAGCTGGAGAGTGGGTTAAGTGTAAATAGTAGTTTTAGGCTGTAATTAGCAGTTTTTTTTAGTAATATGTCTTTAAATTCAAACCAAATCAATTCCACTAAGGCGGTAAGTCCCTAAACAGGTCTGTTAGGTCTAGAAAATTTAATTAATAATTGTATATTAATCAAACAACTAAAGATGAAGAGATACCTCTATATCACTTGTACCAACAAACATGTAATCCCACTACAAATAAAAGAAATAAAGATCAATTTAAGTAAAAAAAGTAGAAGGGTCTGTGCCTAGGGGCACGAACGGAAGCTTGACGTAGGACCGCTAGTGGACGGAACAAATGTGAACATTTAGTTCTTTTAATTGATCAATCATCAATTATCTTAACTCTTTCCGTTTTTTATTTGTAAGCGTATCAAATTTGTAGTATTTATTTCAAAGAGAAAGTTGATGAAGAGAATCCAAGGGACTATCAACTTCAGTATTTTCGATTCATCTACCCGACTTTTAAAGGTGTATTTTGATTTTTTGTGTTTTTCACCCCTCACAGGATTTCCTTTCGAATTATATGGGGCGGAAAGTATCGTGTGTGCAGAATATGTAAAAAAGGCGGGACTTCGAGAGATTGAACTCGTGAGAGCTAATTTTCTCACAAATTTGATTTTATTGGTTTTCTGGGGACTGAATATACACCCAAAGCGAATTATTCCCACTTCTCTCAAATTCTATATGGATTTTTAACACTTCCTACCAGCGTGTTCTGGAAAATGGTCGGACGATGATTAATCTCACCAATACATTCGGGCCTACAATTCCACA